CAGGCTTGTTCTAAATCTCCTTTTATTATTTAGAGTTTTTACCCCTTTTTTGAAGCCTATTGTTATCTCAGGGAGACTTTGAAGGAGGTAACCTTTATTGTGTCATCTTCCAATATTTTTTTGTATTCTGCTTCCATAGCAATAGGAGTATACTCGTTTAATAGTCCGATCATGAAAGAAAACATGATAACATTGAGAGTGGACATATTAAGGCGTAATTTATTAGAAGTCTCCACGTTAACGTTGTCAAATCACCTTTATGTTCTTTCGTGATCTGCTGCACTCCAAACATTATATTGTCCTTCGAAGGTAATGCCCTCGAGTATGTGCTATTGTGATTTCTCACACAATACTCTAACCGCTTTATGAAGCCTTTCCACATTCAGTATTGTGCTATTAGCTACATAGGGCTTTACTTATGTCGGTTTGGCCTCCAATGTTTTGTAAGCACTGAAAGATACGATCTTTTTGCTTACTAATCAAAGGAAAATATTATGACAATTACGCTAGAAGATGCAAGGAGGTTAATAAATGGCATTTCGCCATTATAGAGGAAAATAACAAAATAGGTTCAGTTCGGGGACTTTATTCTACTGAAACATCAAAAGAAAATCCAAGTAGTATTATCAGCTGTCGATACAACGATAGTAGAATTCAGATGCATTCACATGATCGCTCATATCAATTTGCGAAAATTTTTGAGACAACTTGTGGTTCAGGACAACGTCGAAAACTATTTCATAGCTCAACCCCTTATGTTCACCATAAAATATTCTTTTCGTAGCTATTTTATTTTTCTATATTCTTAATACCTAGGCATATAATTAAGCTCCTTCATCTACCTATAAATCATAGGATTTATTCTTTCGTTTGGGGCTATTTGCTATACGGCTTTTCGAGTGAAATGATTTTTTATATATCTATTTAGTAAAATAATCTTGCTGATCGTAAATTACCAAAAGTTTGTCTTCTCTCGTTTAGGAAATTCTCTTGTTATAAACTCTCAGTGTAAGCTGTATTTCTTGGAATAGAAACTAATTAAATCCTTATTTTATATGCATATTAATCTATTACGTTTTAATCCGAAGTTAAATACATAGAGTATTTTGGAAAATTCTTCATTAGTTTTTTTATCTCATTTACTTTATCTAGTTGCATACGACCTAGTAGATCAAAAGTTCTCCTATCAACGTCTTCTCCCCAGGAATCAACGATGACAAAGTCCTGTCGGCCCCTTTTTAATTTAGCCTCTATTCATTCAAGCTTTCATACACCATGTTATCTCCCTAACTTCACAGCATTAAAAGCGCCTTGGATATCAGACCCCAAGGATAAATTGCAACCAAAATCTGAATCAAATACTGTTGAACTTGAATCCTGTCATCCAATTATAAAGGAAAATAACAAAATAGGTTCAGTTCGGGGTCTTGATTCTACTGAAGCATCCAAAGAAAATCCAGGCAGTATTATTAGCTATCGCTACAACGATAGTAAAATTCAGATGCATGCACATGATCGCTCATATCAATTTGCTGAAAGTTATGAAACACCTTTATATAGTACATTTTGTGGTTCAGAACAACGTCGAAAACTATTTCATAGCTCAACTCCATCTAAAGCTACTTTACTATGGCCAGGATCAGTAAAGGAATCTGAAAAAAATGGAAAATCAACCTTTTCCAAGGTATTAACTAGAAACAAAAACAATAATGTAGGCATCGCAAATCTGGAACCTGCTTGCTCATCAAAGCCGCGAAAACGTCGATTTTTGATTAATAAAACAACTTTTGAGAACAGGCGTCAACATTATATCCGGTCCATGGTTCATCCGCAGCTCATAAGCAGTTCTGATTCAAACGACATTAAAAAGATTAATGACCCTGAATGCTACTGCAGTGGTTTTGAATCTGATCTAGTAAGAAAGCAGTTGGTAGATATTGGACTACTTGATGTCATAAAAATGCGTCAGTTGGGTTATCCCATCCGTATTCCATTTGATACCTTCATAGAACGGTAGGCTGAAGAATAATTTATGATTTATTTATATGATAGTTCATTAGTAAAAAGCTTTTCATTGTAGTTAATTTGGAAATATTGACAAAATATTTCGTAAGCACTAAAAAAAAGAATTTATTTTTGCTTAGTAATTAAAGGAAATTATTATGACAATCACGCTAGATGATACAAGGAGGCTAATAAATGGCATTTCGCTACAGGTTCACAATCAACTAAAATTATTTGATTTATTTAGAATGGCCTAAAGATGTGTGCTAACAAAAGCATCATTTAACTTACTAAATAATACCAAGTTGACTTATTTTTGCGTACATTCGTCGCTATTTGGGTTTCTCATTTGCAAAATGTATAGAGTTATTTGCATCTAAATGCAATTTTAAAGATAATTTTAACTAGTCCTGGTAAAGATTTTTAATTAATTATTAATCACCTCGGTTGATATTGTTCCAACTTTTCCGATTAAATGTAATAATATTTGATAATGAGTTGTAGAAGTTTTTATGGGACCGAATAAAATGGATGGTTCTGTACTATGGGAAGGAGCCTAATGAATATGACAGTATTAAACGTATAATGAGAGGCAGGTCGGTTTTCCCATTACAAATATTAGTTTGTCTGGCCAATGAGTAGCCCAGAATGAATAGTCAAGTGTAATATAAATATCTAGCATTTCTCACTTATTCAAAGTATTTCAGGTAACACTTATATTTAAACAATTTAATGTAAATTATATATAACCAGATGTAAATGGTTTTGATTCTTTCATTTTTACACCTACAGCTTTGTGGCTCTTTTCCCTCCTCCTTGCGAGCTTCAAGAACTAATGAATAATCTCTTTCGACAACCAGAGAGCAATAATTATACAAGACAAGCTCTAAAGGACCAAATGACCCCGAACTGCAATCTCTCGAATACACAGATTTGCGAAGAAAAACTAAAAAATATATCCCCCATAACCCAGATTGAGCATAATTTGATGGGAAAGGATACTACAATATCAAAGCATCTTGCTTCTGGTGCTACCAGTGTAGACCTTTTGAATGATTTGCCCGTCGGAACCAGCAATGGTGTTCATTTAAGTGATAGAAATGCCATTGAAACAAGAGCATTTAATGGCCAAACCGTATCATTTGTTAGCCAATTGAACAGGATTATTACAACTTTGAACCAAGTCGTCAATGATGTTACAAGCAGTCATCCCAATGAACAAAAGCAATCCTTTGCAGCAAACGAGGAAGTTGAGGCTAAACAACTAGGTCGGTTTTGGTTGCAATACTATTTTTAATTATTTATTTAAAACTGATAAGGTAATGTTTATAAACATGTTGTTGTACATTTACATATTTAAGATCAAATAACCTTTGTATGATAT